AGCCTCCCCTCCCGCACTTATTAGTCAAATCATCACCAAGTCTTGCCGATTTCACCCACATTCTCTCCAATCTTTTCACTTTTCTCCTTCCCCATAGCTGCCACCGCACTCTAAGCTACATTTATTTCTTGCTCAGGCCACCTCAACAGCTTCCTAAGCAGCCTTCCCCATCCACTTTGTAACACCTTAATGCAGCTCTAATGAATTACATTAGAGAATAGGAAAAAAGTCACAAGTAAACATTTCCGGAATTCATAGATTCTCGCCCAAAGTCCAGAAGAGGAAAGCCAAATGTCGGGCATCAGTTACCTACAAGCAATTCCCAATTAGCCAAACAAGGGAGAAACACTGGCCCAAGGGAGGCACCCTGCTCAGGTTACAGTCCCACCACCGGAGCCCCGCGCTGGGACCCAGGGACTGGCAGGGAGGCCCAGGATACCTGGAACTCGAGAGTGCATTTGGTGCCCTGTGCGATGTCCTCGTAGAAGCACTGCTTGGCGTTGTCCGGAAGCTCGAAGGTGATCTCAGAGGTACCACCAGGCCCGGGCACCAGTAGCAGCAGCACGAGCAGCTTGCAGCCCCAACGGCCCGCGACGGCCGCCCAGCACTGCGCGGACCCCGGCCGCGGCATCCCCAGACGGCGGCGGCGGCGGCGGCCTCGGCCTCAACCCAGCTACTAGGAACGCGGGGTCGGGTCTGCGCAGACTCGGCGCGCGCTGCAGGCCTCAGCCCGAGAGGCCTCGTGAAGACTCACGGCAGAGCAGCTCCAAGGCTCGGAGAGAGTCGGGCTGAGGACGAGCCGCCGGGGACAGGAGACGGGCGCCGAGAACCGGGTCTGGGGGCCGGAAGCTCTCGTGAAGCGGAGACACAGTAGCCAGAAAAGCGGAAAAGGCCGAGACGGTCGGAAGTGGGAATGAGCGCCAGAGGGGAAGGGGCGGGGCCTGAAGCACCTGTTCCAGCGACCCGGATGTGTTCTCCGCCGGGGAGAGGCGTTGGGTGCGTACGTGGAAGCCCGCGAGGCGTCTTCTCTGCAGGCGTCGCAGCCCGGGTCGAGGGGCGGGGCCTGGGAGGGGTGGGGCCAGGGAGGGGCGGGAGCTGCGCTCAGAGAGAGGGAGGTTTCGCGGTGCCCGCTTTTGTCTTTGCAAAAGCTGAGCTCTAGGGAGTCGAAGGGGTTGTTTTGTCCCAGAGTGTTGGTGGTAGAGCACTTCGCAATTTGCAGTTTTCTCATAAATAACATGAAATATTTGGGGGAAGCAGCTGGGCAAAGAGCGCGAATTCTGAGAGCTTGAGAGTAGACAGCCGGTGTTCTAATCCCTGCTCTGTCGTTTACTGACAGTGAGACGTTAGGCCAGTTGCTTAAACTCTTTACCTCCATCTTTGCATCTGTGAAACGAAGATGATAATAGTACTTACCACAGGCACTTATTACAAGGTTTAAGTATTTGGAAAAAGCACCTAAAACAGTGCTTGGCACACAGTAAACACTAGATAAGCTTTTTCTTTTCTCTCTTTTTTTTTTTTAAGAAACATCTCACACTATCCCCATGCTGAAGTGCACTGGCACAGTTGCAGCTCTCTGCAGCTATCAACTCCTGGCTTCAAGTGGTCCTACTGTCTAAGCTTCCCTAGAGGTGTATGCAATTGTTAAAAATAAAATATCTATTGAGCACTCCTTATCATCAAGCACTGTGTTAAACAGATTACATATATTATGTCATCCTGTTGTTCAGTCAGCCTTATAAAGTAGGTGTTGTTACTTTAAGGTGAAAGAGAAGGAAGCCTAATTCCATTTTGATATTATTCTTTTTCCTGAGAATCAGTGGGAAGGCAAAGCAGGCCTGATTCCATTCTGTTGTTTTCTTTTTAAAAAAACCCCTTCCACTTGCCTCCCCAGCCGCATGGTATTTTAAGTGTACCTGGTCAGAGCTGTTAGAATTATTAGTATTGTGATTATGTTATGGTGGTCTTCATGCAATCTGTATATGATATGGAAATATTAAAAGCAAGTTTGACTCCATTTTACTGGTCACTCCCTTTCCATCACATTCCATGACTTTTGAAGCTGGTTCCTCTTGTTTGCCCTCCCATTGTATAACTGTGAATGCATTGAACTAAAACTGTTAGTAATGTAAGTTACTGACTTGCACTCGTGATTATATCCTTGGTGATTATAGCTTTTTATGATCATGCTGTTTATGACCCCCACCTGCGAGTTCCCCTACCTACAATACCTCAGGACATTATAGATTGTACTTGTTTTGTAAAAAAGAATTACTAAGTGCCCTCGTGATCATAGCATTGTAAACTGACCCTCTGTGATTTACCCTAACTGCTGTTTTCACTTTTGTAACTATGCTTGCTTGCTCCCTGGAAAATTTTTCCTTATAAAAGTCAGAGTCTAAGACACCTCAGGGCTGCTCTCAGAAACCCTATGTTGGGACACTGAGGCAATCGCTGGCCAGCTCTTCAATAAAAGGACTCCTCTTTAAATTTGACTTGTCTGGTGGTGTGGTCTTTGAGAGATTCTTGGGCATAACAATTATACCTACTTTAGGGCAGTGCCTGTGGCTCAAAGGAATAGGGCACTGGCCCCATATACCAGAGGTGATGGGTTCAAACCCAGCCCTGGCAAAAAAACAAACAAACAAACAAAAAAAACCCCTGTAATTATACTTACTTTATTAGTTAGAAAATTGAGGATCAAAAAAATTGAGTAATTTGCTTATGATCATACCATTGGTTTGTGGTGGGGTGCTTACAAAATAATAGTAGGTAATAATAATAGAGGCCTGAACAGATGGTGTTTCTATAGTTCAGTATAAATTTTCTCTTTGCATATAAACACAAATTATATATTATCCTTTTTTTTTTTTCTTTTTGAGACAGAGTCTCACTCTGTTGCTCTGGGTAGAGTGCTCACAGCAACCTCAAACTCTTGAGCTCAAGGTATTCTCTTGCCTCAGCCTCCCCAGTAGCTGGGACTACAGGTGCCAGTCAAACGACCTGCTAGTTGTTCTATTTTTAGTAGAGACAGGGTCTCCCTCTCAGGGTCTCGCTCTTGCTCAGAGCTCAACTCTTGAGCTCAAGCAATCCACCTGCCTCAGCCTCCCAGAGTGCTAGGATTACAGGTGCGAGTCATGGAGCTGGGCCTATTCCCTTTTAAAAAATAAATGTTCCCAGTGAGGCTACAGTCAGCAGAGAGTGGGTTTTATGGGAAGAAAGGAAATAGAGGCAGATAGGAAGGAGCAAGAGGCATTATCAAGAGGGTGAGGGTTGGTGTGTAGTTGGAGGAGGGGGCTATGAAATGATGGAGATACGGGCTGCTGTGCAGTGTTCAGCGTTCTGGAGCACACAAAACCTCCTCAGGGGGGAAAATATCTGAATTCAAGGTCCTCAGATACTGGGAGGAGATTTGGGGGAGATTGGGACTTCCTAAGAACTGGGCTAGAAACAGAAGCATTATTTGTGTTGATAGGTGGATGATAGAAGACTGAATTTGAAAGCAGAAAACATGGGTTCTATTTATTAACTCTGTTAACTGGGATGAGTAATATTGCTCTTTAAACAAACCTCAGTTTCTTCATACATCAAATGACAATACAAACAAAAAGAGATGAATGAATAAGATTAAAATCACAAGGCAATACATAATACAGCACCATGTAGGCAACAAATTGATGAGCGTATAGAGCAACAAAATATCTTATACAGTGCTAGTGGAAATGTCAACTGGTACAACCATTTTGGAAACAATGTGCCATTATCTAGTAAAGAATATATAGAGATATGTAGCACATGCATGCACACACACACACACACATATATTTTACGAAATTCAACTTTACATATAAGGTACATACTTTAGAGCAATGCTTGTTAGAATGTTGCTCTAAAGCCCCCGGGAGGGGGCCTGTGAAACCCTTTCTGAGGGTCTGTAGTTATCTAGGTGAGGCTGGATTTTCATCATATATTTCAACCCAAACAACATATCCTAACAGATTGAATACAAAAGGAAATGACCACCCAGCTCCTTCTATGAATCTAGATATGAAAGAGATTTATAAAACAATGTCACTCTTCTTACTAAATTTTTATTCAGACAATATAGTTATTTTTTATTAAAAATGTGCTAGTTATATAAATGTGTGCAGGGGGTTGGATCGTGTTTCCCAAAACATGTCCAAGTCCTAACCCCTGTTTCTATGAAGAGACCTTATTTGGAAACAGCGGGGGTTTTTTGCAGATGTAATTAAGTTAAGGATCTCAAGATGAGATCATCTTGGATTAGGCTGGGCCCTAAATCCAATGACTGGTGTCCTTATGAGAGAAAGGAGAGGAAGATTTGAGACACACAGACCCAGAGACACACAGGGAGAATGCCACGTGAAGACCAAGGCAGAGTTGGAAGTGATAGGTCTGTGGACCAAGGAACCCTAAGGATTGCCCATAGCTACAGGAATTAGGAGAGAAACTTGGAACCTCTTCAGAAGCTCCAGAAGGAACCAACCCTGGAAACACCTTAATTTCAGACTTCTAGACTCTACAACTACAAAAAAATAAATTTCTGTTGTTTTAAGCTGCTAAATTTGTGGTAATTTGTTATGGGACATTCAAGAAATGAATGCAACGTGACATTTATTGTTCTTTTGAATAAATTATCAATAAATACTTTTAAATGTCTCATCTCAATTTTTTCATTGGAAATTTTTAAATTTTAAAATTTCAATTTCTAAGTTTCTAAGGCCCCAAAATGTGAGAGCCATTGCCTTACAGAAGTGCATGCACAGCTATACCAGAATATACATACAAGAATACTCAATGTCAAAGCCTAGTACTAGTCACAGCGGAAAATTCCCCATATATCCATAAATGTGAGTATGTCCATTAAATGGGACATATCACATCATAGCAATGAAAATGAATAGATTACAGCTGCACGGGACAACATAGGAACATCATAACATATATTATGCAAAATAAGCCAGGCTAAAAAGAAGTTATACCAAATATAAAGGCTGACAACAAGGAAAATTAAACAATCCCAGTTTCCCTACTATGTGGTGAGGCCATACAAAAAAAGCATAAAGGTGATTATGTCAGTAGTCAGGAAAATAAGTGAGGACGGGGTGATTAAGTGAGAGGCAGCACAGAGTCGGGAGGGCAGAGGCCGCCTTTGGTGCTGGTGATTCTTTTTCTTGAAATCAGTGGTAGTTACGTGTACACTCACTTTGTAATTATTCATTATGCTTATATAGGGTTTGTGTAATTTTCTGCATGTAATATTTCACAACAAAAGAAGGAAACATTAATATACTGGATGAGAAAGCAATTATTACAGGAAAAAAACAAAACTTGTGGTTTAAAACCATCTGGACTCTGGGTCAGCTGAGTGTGTCTGGTCTCAGCTAGGTTCACTCATTCCTGGTTATCTGCTGGGGGTGCGCATGTAGCTTTGCTGATTTGGGCTGGGCTTATTCATATTTTGGCTAGAAAACTGGTGATAGGCTGGTTTAGGATGACTGTGGCTGGGACAACTACACTTTTCTTCACATTAGAATTCCTTATTCTCCAACAGGCTAACACAAGATGTTCACATGGGAACCTCGGGTTTCAGGAGAAAGAATGTTCAAGGCATATGGAGACCTAGGCTCAGAACTGACCCTGTCCCTTCTGCCTCATTCTGTTAATGAAAAATTACAAGGCCAGCCCAACTAGGGGAGGAGGCGGCAAAGACACTGTGTCAATCAGGGTTCCAGTGGAGAAGCAGAATCACTACAAGGCCAAATAAATAAGCAAGCCCATGTAGTATATTTATATACACATACATTACATAGCAGATTAAACAGTCTATGGGAGGCTGCTGCTTTTATGTCTGATGCTGGAGCCTGAACTCCACAGATAACAAACACAGGTAATGAGAAAAGATGGATGTTAAGTGGAAAAAGGCAAAACTGCAGCCTGTGAGAATGAGCTACACTCTATTTCCAATTTTTTAAATAGGAAAAATAATCATGTATTTCATATCTATACAACAAAATCTGAATAACTG